TCTATATTCAGTATCATGTCATCTGCAAATAATGACAATTTGACTTCTTCATTTCCTATCTTTATTCCTTTTATTTCTCTTGTCTAATTGCTGTGGCTAATGTTTCCAAAACTATATTGAACAGGAGTGGTGATAGTGGGTATCCTTTTCTTGTTCCTGATTTTAGTGTGAAGGATTTCAGTTTTTGACCATTTAGTATGATACTGGCTGTTGTTTTTTCATAGTTGGCTTTTATCAGATTGAGGTACAGACCGTCTATTCTGATTTTTTGTAGTGTTTTTATCATAAATGCGTGTTGGACTTTGTCAAATGCTTTTTCTCCATCAATTGAGATGATCATATGATTTTTATCCTTGGCTCTATTGATATAGTGTATTACATTGATTGATTTGTGTATGCTGAACCATCCCTGCATTGCTGGGTTGAATCCCACTTGGTCAGGGTTTATGATCTTCTTGATGATCTTCTGCATTCTGTTTGCCAGTATCTCATTAAGGATTTTTGCATCTATGTTCATTAGTGAGATTGGTCTATAGTTTGGTTGGGTCTTTCTCTGCTTTGGGGATCAAGGTGATGCTTCCTTCCAGGAATGAATTTGGGAGTATTGCTGCCCTTTCAATTTCATTGAAGAGTTTAAACAGTAGTGACAGTAGTTCCTCTCTAAATGTCTTGTAGAATTCAGCAGTGAAGCCATCAGGACCCAGGCTTTTCTTAGTTGGTAAGTTTTTAATTATGTTTGAATTTCATTGATTGATATGGGGTTGTTAGGAATTTTTAGGCCTTCTTCGTTCAAGTTTGTTAATTCATACGTTTCTAGGAATCTGTCCAATTCTTCTGTGTTTTCCATCTTATTGGTGTATAGGTTCTTGAAGCAGGTATTGATGATCCTCTGGATTTCTGGTGGGTCTGTTGTAATTTCACCCTTTCCATTCCTAATTGCATGGATTTGGGCCTTTTCTTTCCTTTTTCTGATAAGGTTGCCTAAGGATTTGTCAATTTTGTTTATTCCTTCGAAGAACCAACTCTTGGCTTCATTGTTTTTTTGTATCATTCTCTTAGTCACCATTGCATTGATTTCTGCTCTGATTTAATAATTTCCTCCTTTGTATGAGCTTTGGGTTTGTCCTGCTCTTCTTTTTCTAAAAGCTTGAGGTTCAGCATCAGGTTGTTTAATTGGGCTCGGTCTGTTTTCCTAATATGAGTATTCACTGCTGTGAATTTCCCTTGTAAGACTGCTTTCATTGTGTCCCATACATTCTATTATGTTGTATTGGCATTGTCACTTAATTGTAGGAACTGTCTGATTTCTTCTTTGATTTCCTCTGTGACACATTGGTTATTCAGAAGTGTGTTGTGCAATTTCCATGTGTTTTTGAAATTCTTCCGGTTTCTTTTGCTATTGATCTCCAATTTCTTCGCACTGTGGTCTGATAATATACAGGTGATA